CATCTTTTATTAAATACTTGTTAAAGCCAATAAATTGATTTCATGGCCTACTCATGTTTGAGGAACTTTGGCTTAATGCACATGTTGTACTATGTAATTCAAGTAGATATCTCAGGATCAAACAATAGAAAAAGGAAATACTTGTGAACTTGAATAAGATGAAGAACTCAGTGGTTAGAAGCACCCTAACGCCTAGTGACATTGAATGACATGCAGAGGAGAGCGTAGAAAGACCATTGGGTCCTCCTGACTTCCAGGCTCTGGACTTCAAAACTCTCCAGCTCTGTGTATGATGGACACTAGCTACATGTGGCTATTTAAATTTAACTAGTTTATGCTGGAGACCAGTTAGGGGACTAAAAATGAATAAATAAATGTCTAGTGGACAGTGCTGGTGTAGATGGAGCAGAGATGGGAGATGTGTCAGCTCAGTGACTGGGCACGGGTGTCTCCATGTGCTAAGAGGGGATGGAACTGGGTCACCTCTAAAATCCTTCCAGCTCAATGTCCCTCATTTTGAAAGCCCACAAAGTTACTGTGTGAATGTGAGGCGTTGGGAAAAGTGCCTGAAGACGGAGTTCTGGGAAGCAAGACTGCCCGAGGAGCAGCGGATCCTAGAATCCAAGAGAGCTTGGGAGTAGGGAAGAGCCAGAGTTTACCACAGCATCTGTTTGAAAGCCAAAGGACAGAACGGAAGAAGAGAACAGAGAAATGTTTTGGTTTACACAGGCAGCCTCACCTCCTCACCCTTGGTGATGGCGGGAGGGAACTTCTGTTGCTTCTTGTCTGTGGCAGCCAGAGGGACCGAGTGAAAGGAGGATGTTTTTTGTGGGTGCTTCAGCTCACTGCCCCTGGGGGTGTCCTTCCTAGGGATTGATATCTGAGAATTGAACTATGTCATCTAAACAAAGCTCAGTCATCCCATTGAATGTATGGATTTTTTTGTTAGAAAATCTCTGTTTGTTATCACTGTATCTTTTAAACTTTTAAAACAATATTGAGGTATGATACAATAAAATGTACCCATTTTAGGTGTAAGGTTCAACGAGTTTTGACAAATGGATAACTCATATACCTACCACCATAGTCAAGACACTGAACAATTCCAGGCACATTATCTGTTGAAAAGAAAAAAAAAATAAGATACCGAACATTTCCATCACCCGTGACCCTTCTCAGCAACCCTCCTTCTCCATCCCTGGCCCCAGGCAGCTGATCTGCTTTTTATCACTATAAGTTACTTTTGCTTTTCCTAGAGTTTTAAATCAATGGAATCATTTGGTATATACTTTTCTTTTTCTTTTCTTTTTTTTTTTTGAGACAGAGTCTCACTCTCTTGCCTGGGCTAGAGTGCCGTGGCGTCAGCCTAGCTCACAGCAACCTCAAACTCCTGAGCTCAAGTAATCCTCCTGCCTCAGCCTCCTGGGTAGCTGGGACTACAGGCACGCACCACCATCCCTGGCTAATTTTTTCTATTTTTTTAGTTGTTTGGCTAATTTCTTTCTATTTATAGTAGAGACAGGGTCTCACTCTTGTTCAGGCTGGTCTCGAACTCCTGAGCTCAAGCAATCCTCCCACCTCGGCCTCCCAAAGTGCTAAGATCATAGGCGTGAGCCACCGCGTCCGACCTGCTTTTCTTTGTCTTCTTTTGCTCAGCACAGTGTTGCTGAACTCATCCATGTTGTGTATATGACTTGGTTCCTTTTTATTGCCAAGTAGTATTTCATTGTATGGATTTATCATAATCTGTTTATCCATTCATCTGTTGAGGACATTTGGGTTTTGGGCTATTACGAATGCATACAGGTCCTTTTCGCAAACATATTTTCATTTCTCCTGGGTAAATATCCAAGAGTAGAATTGCTGGGTCAGATGGTAAGTGCGTATTTAACTTGTTGGGGGGTAAATGTATGTTTAACTTTATCAGAAACTATCAAACCACATTGTGTTTTTAAGAACTTGATTTGGTGGTGGGGGGGCAGGAGTTGCTGTTTTGCCTCTAGTATTTTCTGTACCACCCAGTTCCCACTAGATTTTGTAGACTAGATATCGTAGACAGTCTGAAAACAGGTCAGTGTGCAAGTGGCTACTAGAAGTTCTGGGTTAATGTCATGGTTCATTCTGGGTGAGGTGGTACTGGGTTATTTCTCATGGTAAAGAGACCCAGGCAGGACAGATAGAAGGATTTTAGCAAACAGTGTTATGCTCCTTGGAAGAGAGTGCATTTCGAGGTGGTGGGAAAGGCTGTGCTTGTACCAATTGAGGAAACAGCTAATACCTAAAGGATGCGAGATTTTTGCAGGAGAAATTGTTCCCTGTGGGGAAGGTGTAAAGCTTGTAACCCAGCTCTTTTATTAACTTCCCTGTCCTCGTGGAGAGAGAACCTGAGGCCAGCTTGGTCTGGGAACTACTGCGAGTTGTCGTGTGGTGGATATAGAACAAAGAAACCTTGGCACAGGGCTCCTTTCTGCTTCTGACTAGTATAGCAAATGGAAATGAGATATCAAACCCGGCCCACAAGACTGAAATATGTAAGGAGGTTGCTTTGTAATGGAAATGATAAGCAAATGTAAGTTGTTATTCATCTACATGCTAAAAACTAGGCAATACAAGTTGCTAGTCTATTTCTACCTTTTTTTAAAGTGAATATACCTGTGATAAGGATCGAATTTCTGACCACAATTTTGCAACAATTAATTCAGTCGAAGATTACTTTTTTCTGCTTAAATGCAGGCGTGTGCTTGCTGGTATTCTCTAAGTATGTTAAAAGCAATTCGGGTTTTACAGACAAGTTTGGGAAATGCTGTGCGGCAGCCTCTAAATGCTGGCCATCCTGTGAGAGCACCCCAAGTGTTCTCATGAAGTCGCTTTTGCTTCTCATTAACCCTGTTGGCCAGTGTTGTAGCTATCTATTGCTACATAACAAATTACCACAAATTTAGCAGCTTCAAATCTCACACATTGGTTATCACACAGTATCTCTGGGGTCAGGAATCCTGGCACAGCTTAGTTAGCTCTTTTGTTTCTGAGTCTCTTACAAAGCTGCAGTCAAGGTGTCAGCTAGGGCTGGGGTCTCATCTGAAGGCTCAGCTGAGGAGGGATTCACTTCTGGGGTTGTGTGGTTGTTGGCAGAGCTCAGTTCCTTGAAGCTTGGACTGGGGGTATTAGTTCCTTGTTGGCTATTGGCTGGAAGCCACCTGTGGTTTCTTGTCATGTGGGCCTTTCCAACATAATAGCTTTTCATCAAAGTGTGCTAGCCCAGAAGACAATAAGAAGAGTTGGCCAGCAAGACGGAAGCTACAATTTTAGGTAGCCAAGTCATGGATGTGACATCCCATCACCTTTGCTGCATTCTGTTGATTAGAAGCAAGTCAGAGGCCTCACCCACACTCAAGGGTTGACACAAAGGTGTGAATACCAGGAGGCCATCTTAGACTCTGCCTGCCAAGCTGGGTTGCAGCCAGACCTGCCTACCTCTGCCTACCAAGGCACTGCAAATAGTTGCATGGAGATTCTAGTGCTAGGTGAACAACCCAACCACGTAAGTAAGAATTAGCGGATAAGTCTGGAATCGATTATAAAGGGTAATTCAGCCTCTTTTGTTCTTCTAGACTTACTCTTCTTGCAGGAAGTGGGTAAAACAAATGTACTGTCAGCTGGAATATAATTTCTTGAATATCAAAACCAGTATCCTACACAGAAGCTGATCCAAAGGTGACCCCTAATAAAAACGATCTGCATATTGGGCTCAATCAGCTGTATTGCCCTCCTTTTATAACAAATGTTTTATAATATCCTTCATTCTAAAATGAAATCCACAAATAGAATTTACCTGCCCTTCCAGGCTGAGCAAGAGTGAGACCCTGTCTCTACTAAAAAAATAGAAAAAAAATTAGCTGGGCGTGTTGGCATGCACCTGTAGTCCCAGCTACGTGGGAGGCTGAGGCAGGAGGATCACTTGAGCCCAGGAGTTTGAGGTTGCTGTGAGCTAGGCCGATGCCACAGCACTCTAGCCTGGGCAACAGAGCAAAACTCTGTCTCAAAAAAAAAAAGAAAAAGAAAAAGAATTTACCTGCTCACATAGTTTTAAAACATCAATATGACTTAACTGTAATATAAAAGACAAAAGGAAAATAATATAATAAAAACAATGTGATTCAATAGTAAATGCTCTGAAATAAAATGGTTGGATGCTTGCGCCTGAATTTAGAATCACCACAAATGAGATAGCTATAAATACAGACTGATGTTTGATACTGAGGTGTGGGATTAAGGACTCAAATCCTACAATTTGTCATTGGTGGTAAGATTTTCCAGGAAGATGAACAATTCTTGGAAATGTTCTGAACAAAACAAAAAAACACCCCGTAATTTACACAGTAGTTGTGTTTCAAGGAAATTCAGTGTACGCTCAAATTGTGCAAAACAAACAAATAACCAACCCCTTGTTTTGGAGTTACTCTGGGCTCAGGTAACTATAAATAAGGTTATCTACCTGTATGTCATGCGGGACATTGGAAAGCCGAGACGATTCGTTGTACAGGACATTGCTGCACTATGCAGGACAAATGTCTGGCACCTAGCACTTCCCCACCTACTCCCCCCTCAATTCCAGGAATGCCTCTCAATTAATTGTGACAAAAAGTCCCTTGGATTTCACTAGTGGGCAGTACCACTCAACAGTGAAAACCACTACGGTGGGGCTTAACCTCTAGGTGAAAGGAGCGATGCTGATGGTTTGGTTGGACACAGTGAAGCCTAAACATCAAGAAGTAAGTACCATGAGGGAGATGAGGATGGGAATTGGTGCACTCACAGGGTCTGTTGTGGCTCAGCAGCTCGGCACAGTTGTGTTCTTATATCAAGCAAAAGACCACGGTATCGCTGGGGGTGGAGAGAGAGAGAATATCATGTTAGGCTGTTAGGAGTGGACGTCTCTAAGCAGACACTTTGCACACTGAATTTTAAGAACACTGACAAAATGCTTTCTTTTCCAACAGAAACTTGGTTCCCTCAAATCTTGTGGTTGCAGCTTTCCGAACGGTAAGGCTTGATACTTTGCTAAAAATATGAAACTTTCATGTGGGGGATGTATAAATTACTGCTATAGAGTTAGGCAAGGCAGAACAGGGAGGGATAATGTTGTTAGCAAAACTTGATAATATTGGCCTAAATTTTTATAGATGGGTACCTGGAATAAAAAAACAAAAAACAAAAATAAAAACAGAACAACAAACAAAAAATAATGAACAAACAAAACTCTAAAATGTCCCACTGGTTCCCAAATTTTTTTACATCACCTAAGAAATACCCTCAAATCACATTTTGGGGATTTCTTAAATATTGTGGAATTTTAAAAAATACACTTTTATCTTTTTTTTCCTGATTATAGAGGTAATATAATCACATTGAAAAAAAAATTAAAATACAAAAAAGTGTAAGAACACAAAAATTATCCATAATCACTACCTAGAGCTACTCATTATTGACATTTCAGTATACCTTCTTCAGATATGTTTTTTCTGGGCATATATATACAAAACTTTTTTTTTTTTTTTTTTTGAGACAGAGTCTCACTTTGTTGCCCTGGCTAGAGTGAGTGCCGTGGCGTCAGCTTAGCTCACAGCAACCTCAAACTCCTGGGCTCAAGCAATCCTCCTGCCTCAGCCTCCCGAGTAGCTGGGACTACAGGCACGTGCCACCATGCCCGGCTAATTTTTTCTATATATTTTTTAGCTGTCCAATTAATTTCTTTCTATTTTTGGTAGAGACGGGGTCTCGCTCTTGCCCAGGCTGGTCTCGAACTCCTGAGCTCAAACAATCCCCCTGCCTCGGCCTCCCAGAGTGCTAGGATTACAGGCGTGAGCCACCGCGCCCGGCCTATACAACATTTTTAAAAGAAACATACACATATTGTTAGATGTACACATACTATACAGACTGCTTCTATTTTCCCATGTCAGTAAATACCCTTCCACACAATGTTATCGCCATAGAACAATTTTCCTCTTATCAGTCCCTGTTGATGGACATTCATGTTGTTTCTAGTTTTCCCCTATTTTTAACACTGATGCAAGTAACATTCCTGTGGCCGTTCTTTACACAGACAAGGAATATAAAGGTCTAGATTATATGGTCTAATCTGATTGCTTTTTACAAGTCAGGAGTTTTCTGTTTCTACTTAAAACCCCTCATTTTTTTTTTTTAATCTGCATATAAGCACAGGAGGGACTTGTATATGTAATGTGAGGTAGGAGGAAAAAGTAGATTTATGGGGCTTTCAGTGCCTGTCACTGAGGGGTTGGAGTGGGGTTTATTTCCCTGCCATCCTTGATCATGGACAGCTTGATTAATCCAAGCTGAGAGAAGCCAGAGCTCATCAAGGCTGGTGCAGAGCAGGCCTTCGAGTCTGGAGGTCCTAGTGGGCTCCGCCTGACAGCTCAGGGCCAGGCGCCCTTAGAAGGGGTCAGGAAGGACTGTGTTCTAACAGATTCCACTCGACAGCTCGAACTGCCACCGAAAGACACGTGTGTGCACCATGCAGAAGCACGTGAAATCAACCACAGGACCAAAGTTGGAGAGATGTCTCGCTTCTAATAAGCGAGTCTCCCAAAAGACTCAGCCAGGAAATGCCACCTTGCCTCACATCCCTGGCTTTGCAGAGTGGAGGCTCAAGACAAATTGGAAACAGATGCTAAAAAGCAGTCATGCTCAAATAAGTTCTGGAACAAAGAGCATAAATAAATGAATGAAAATAAAATGACACATTGAAAAGTGAATTTTGGCATTATGGAATTACTGCCAGGGTCATTCGAATAATATGAGGTATCAGGCTGTTCGAAATAGCAAACTACCAGCTGAAATTGTGCAGACCTTGTCCTCCAAACCATTGCCCGAGGAAAGTAAGGAAATTCTCCCTGTTTCCTTGGGACCCTAAATAACCTGGAGAGGCCTCTTGAAGTACATGCTGCCTTGGTTTTAATGTAACTTTTGTACAGTTCTCAGAAGCCCTTGTCAAGCCAACCAAGTGAGGAATGCCCAGAACACTCAGTGTAAATAATGATGGAAGTAGCAAGAGGCCCCAGCAATGCCCTCAGTCCTCTGGGTGGGTCTTCACCTGCACACTAACAGTGGTTTTCCTTCCTCTTGATCACAGTATGCAACCAGTTATACAGTGGTGACCCACAACACCAGCTCTGGAAACGTAACTCAAGAAAAGGTAAAGCTCTTTATATGATCATGAAAAATGTGTAAAAAGCTACTAATGATGCTTAATTGAAAGAGCATACATGATGTGTCTTTTTCTCAGCTGGGTTGAAAACTTTGGGGTTCAAATGGACTATTTGAAGCGCACAAGCGAGATTTGCTCCTTCAGTTATTTACCAACATGGCCAAATGCCACATTGCACTTACAGCACTGGGATCCTCAGAGGATCCGTAAAACATTGTAAAACACCCCTTCTACTATCTTGAACGTAATCGACAGGTGGTTTAACCTACCCCTGCATATCTAACTTTTTTAAAAAAAATCAACATAAGGGAAAAATAAAAGTGATTTATAATAAAATAATCCATATTTCTCCATGTAAAGGTATAACCATACTAGAAGACATAATGAAGTTTTCAGGTATTTGCATCTACTTAGAATGAATAAATTTGGATTGAAAGCAGTAAGACAGAATTCAAGTAAATATTGTTGGCACTTTTTTTTTTTGCTTTTTTGCGCATTTTGAAATAAGTGCAAAAAT